AAAATAACTCCAGAAACACGATTCCCAACTCTTGGGAATTTCACCAGAAATCATTTATCTTTTCAGAAAAAAAAGAAGAAGCAAATTTTCCATCTCATCAATTGAAAACTGGTGGGAAAATTTCAGGAGAAATTTCTATGCTCTATTGACTAACAGAATAATAGAGTTGGAAGGGACTTTGGAGGTCATCTAGTCCAACCCACTGCTCAAGCAGGTGACCCTGTACTATTCCAGACTAGAAGTGCAGCTGAAGGCTTAATCCCAAACTTGGTAGAGAACTTAAAACTGAGGTTATAGCTACTTCTTACCTGACCAATTTCCATCTACATTTCTTCTTAACTCCTATCAGCCTTCCTTTCCCAAGGAAACGTATGTTACTAGAATGTCTGATGCTGTATAATTAATAGGCCAGAGAGACTTTCGATAGGAAACACACTGTGCAAGCTGTTACGCTGTTTTAACTACAACAGTTATTGCTGTGCAGGCTTTTCACAGAAAGAAAACACAACCAAGGCGGTAGACTTGGAAGACTACCATGAATCCATATTTACGAGAGACCTTAGCGGCACAGTTTCCAGAGCTCTAAGGAAGCATCCAGTTTGCCTGGCATGTGAAAACAACACTCAGAAAGTGGTAATGGGGGTGGGGGAGAACAAGGTCTATTTTGAGGGGTGGTTTCAGAAGAACCTTCTGTGGCCCTCAGGATGAAATTTTGATTCCTTTACATTCTTTGGTGTAGTGGTTAAAGCAACAGGCTAGAAACCGGGAGATTGTGAGTTTAAGTTCCCCCTTAGGACAAAGCTAATTGGGTGACCCCTGCACCAAGAGACAATTAGAAAGAAGATCAGAAGAATCAAAGAGACCTCACATTAATATGCTTACTATTCAATAGGACGCTGAAGTACACATATCCAATGTTTTTTATCAGGGCAACCTGGACTACCCAAATGCGGGATGGAGCCTACTGCTTCCACTTCAGCCCCATACTGCTTCAGCCCCAATCCAGGAGCCTTCGCCTGTAGTCACTTTTGCGACAAACTATTTTTGTATTAAATTTATATTTAGCAATTTAGGGATTAAATACACCTACCTAATATGTAAAAAGTCTGGGTTTGAATCCCAGAAGGGGAATGGCTAGCTGACGAGAGCTAAACAGCTTGAAATAGATCTGTACTAGTTTCTCTTTGTTTCTTTTTCGGTAAATACAAATTTAATACACATATCCAGGTTCCAAGATTCATTTTAATAAATCTAAGAAGATTGTGTTAGGATCTTGCTTTCTTGACTGTAGGCAACACTTAGGGGCTGGACAACAGGGCTGGTCACTTGTGGCGTGCTCAAGAAAAAATAACAGGAGAAGGACACAAAGAGCTTTCCTATGCAATAGTGTCATAGCCACCTCTGCGGTCAGGAACCCTCTTAAATATGTTTGCATATTAATTCAGTAAACTATCTTCCCCATGGATTTTCTCGGGGTCTTAACCAAACTTCACTTAGTCATCCTTATTATTTATCCATAATAAACATAACATTAATGGTGAATCTATAGGACAATGGATATGTTTACTGAAGTTCTCATCAGGAAATGTTCCAATGATTCCTTACAGCCAAACCTTTGTGGGCTTTATAGGATAAAATCAGCATCTTGATTTAAGACCAGAATAGCATAAAGGATTTAAAAGGACAATATGCCCATGTGATTAATGCCTGCCTGCATATATGTATAAATAGTCCTCATCTTATGACCACAACTGGGCCCCAAAGTTCTTTTTCCAAACAAGGCAGTTTTAAAGTTAGTTTTCATTTCACGACCTTACTTACCACCGTTGTCAAGTGAATCACTCCAGCTGTTAAATTAGTAACACATCTGGTAATTAAATCTGGCTTCTCCATTGACTTTTATTATCAGAAGGTCACAAAAGGGGATCAAATGATCCCTGGACATTGCAACCATCATAAATACATGTCAGTTGCCAAGCATGGGACGACTAATCTGAATCCTGTACAGGAGTCAATATCCATTTGCAGTTAGAATCTTCACTATTTCTTCAAATGGGCATCTGAAGGCCATTGCAGAGATGGGAAGTGATAGATAGATGAGGACAGAAACTTTGACTTCATTTTGGGGGCATTGCATAAATTTTACAGTATGCAACAGAAGCTAAACACACCCATCCTTTCCCCTTCTTTCATCCTCCAAGTGTCATCTTAAAGCTGTCAAGTTTGAAGACCCCTGTTCTATAGAGATTCTCAGTCATCCAGGTCATGGTTGTCCCAAAGGTGCTTTTTCAGGAGGCAACTGGACTTTCTTGTTTTTTTCTTTTGAAGATGTTTCGCTTCTCATCCAAGAAGCTTCTTCAGCTCTGAGAATCTCTACAGACTTTTAGCGACACAATTTGCGATGAATGGTGTGGGAGTAGGAATGGATTTCCAGAGGAGAAAAAAAATTCAGACTATAGGAACTGGGAGTACTAACTCAGGTGACCCTGAGGACACAGATAAACCTCCAAGTCAAGGGTCTTCAAACTTGGCAAGTTTAAGACTTGTGGACTTCAACTCCCAGACTTCCTGAGCAAACATGACTAGAGGAGGAATTCTGGGAGTTGAAGTCCACAAGTCTTAAAACTGTCAAGTTTGAGGACCCCTGCTCCAAGTGGTTCAAGGACCCTCTAAAAGGATGCAAATGACCAGCTGTCTGCAAGGAATATAAATCCTTCCATTCCCCACTATCCTGTCAGAGCTAAAGGAGCTTCTTGGATGAAAAGCGAAATGTCTTCAAAAGAAAAACAAGAAAGTGCACTTGCCTCCAGAAAAAGCAGCTTTGGGATATATTTTGAAGAATTTGCACAACATAAATCTGCCTGGAGTTTCCTAGAAAGCACACATTCTCATAATTCATGCATTGTCACATCTTTTTCTTCTTTATTCGTTTTTCCTGGACATGTTTTGCCCAGGCCACCCTAACTGCCAAAACTGACAATTAAAAAGAAATCACATCTACATTCTTAGCTATTCCCTGCTTCTGTTAAAAACAAAGAACTATCAAATAAGATCTGTTCTTCAAGAAATCACAAAGAGGACAATTGTCAGAATTTAATAAAGGCAATTCTGAAAGATTGTTTTGTGTTATTCCAATGGTCTCTGTGGTTTGGCCATTTTTTAAAAAAATGTTGCTGTACACAGTTAAAATTCTTTTTTTTTTTTTTTGCAATATTTTTTTATTTTTTGTTACAACAAAAAATCAATGTGTGAACAGTATGGTTTGGAAGTGTCTTACGTTTTGATACAAATATGACAACATTCCTCTTACTTAATATAGTTGACATTTTTCCAAATTGATATTAATACAAATAATTATTAAATTGTCAATCTTAATTATTCAATATTACAGTATGTTATTTTTATGTCAATCTCTATATTCTTAACCTCACTCCTTTTACTACCAATTATATATTAATAATCATATTTGCAGTGTTTATCTAATTATATAATTCTAATAGCATTTCACAAATGTATATGAAGAACGGTTACAGGAACTGGGCATGGCTAGTCTAGTGAAGAGAAGGACCAGGGGAGACAGGATAGCAGTCTTCCAATATTTGAGGGGCTGCCACAGAGAGGAAGGGGTCAAGCTATTTTCTAAAACATCTGTAGGTCAGACAAGGAATAATGGATGGAAACTGAACAAGGAGAGATTCAACCTGGAAATAAAGAGAAATTTTCTGACAGTGAGAACAATCAGCCAATGGAACAGCTTTGCCTTCAAAAGATGTGGGAGCTTCATCCCTGGAAGCTTTCCAGAAGAGACTGGTCTCCCACCTGTCAGAACTGGGAGGGTCTCCTGCTTGGGCAGGGGGTTGGACTAGATGACCTACAAAGTCCCTTCCAACTCTGATTATCTGTTATCTGTTACATTTATATTAAATTATAAATTTCTATTATCTATCCCCTTATTAATTTCTGAGTATGCCACTATTATATTCAAAAAAGAAAAATTCCCCTTTCTAGTCACATTTTAATACAAATGCAAGAACATTAATCATTCTTACATTTAGCAATTTATACAATTCTAATAGTATACACAGTTAAAATTCTTGCTTGAACGTGACTTATCTCTGAATTGAATGTTTATGTAAGTTCAACTTTCTATAATTCGGAATCTTCCAAATATATTGAGATTACAGCTACCAAATTTACAAGCTAAAAGTTTGAACAGGGAATAGATGATGTCCCAGTTTACAGCTGAGGCTCTACTAGTTCAATTATAAATCCATTCCATACAATTTCCACCATAGTCTGTAGATCCAAATTTCTTGCAAATATGTATTCCTTTTCTTTTTTAAAAGCACTTTGATATCCGGATCTGAAAGGTGCGTTGCATCATTCAGGAAATTCAAAAGGTCATGTTCTGATTAAATTCTGATTGCATTTCGAACCCCAAGAGGCATGGAACAAATTACTTTATGTCAACATTTGCAGGAATAAAATTTTGCACTCTTACAAAATATGCTTATGTGAACATAACATTTCAATAAGTTGAACATATACATGAGAGGGGCTTCGCATGCTGAATTCTAGGTGATGAGGAAAACCTGATACCCAGTGGCTAAGAAAGGCAAAGGCCTTGAAAAGAATGATTTGTATGCTGAAAATGAATAAAAGACTATTACCGTATTTTTTGGTGTATAAGAAGCACTCCCCCTCAAAAAAGTGGGTGGAAATGTCTGTGCGTCTTATATAGCGAATGTTGCTGAAGTCCCGCCCATCCACCGGCTCCCTTCGGCTTCTGCCTCCCAGCAATTTGCCTCCTTGCAGCAAACAGCCTGGTTAGCTTCAGCACAGCCTGATTAGCACAAGCTAATTGTTGGTTGGATTGGCGTCCCAATGATCAGCTGTTTCAGGCTGCAGGGATTGCCATCACCTATTGCCACCTCTGCGTGCCCCATTTTTGGCCTCCACATCCCATTTTCCACCTCCACGCACCCTGTTTTCAGCCCATTATGGACAGCGGGGATCGGAATGGGCCAAAAACGGGGTGCAGAGGCCAAAAATGGGGGCGCGGAGGCGGCAATAGGTGATGGCAAAACCTACAGCCTGAAACAGCTGATCATCGGGAGGCCGACCCAACCAACAATCAGCTGCTCATGCTAATCAAGCTGTGCTAAAGCTGACCAGGCTGTTTGCTTTTGCTGCAATGAGGCAAATTTCTGGGAGGCAGATTTTTTTTCTTGCTTTCCTCCCCAAAATCTAGGTGCGTCTTATACTTCAGAGCATCTTATATTCCGAAAAATACGGCAAGTCATTTGGCAAGGGATTGTATGGATACATGAAAAATGCTTAAAGCCTAGGTGATTAAAAGAAATATTTATAATCTGTAAGCAGGGAAAAAAAAGTACATACAGATATACAGACGCACATGCCTAGACATACACAGAGAGACACACACAAATGGACACGAATATTGTGGGGTCTTTGGTACTCTCTGAACTTGGTTGCTTACTTTGTGCACTGATAATATTACCCAGTTGAGTAATGAAATGTCTGCAAGAAAACAACCAAGTTCAAAGAGCACCAAGGACCCCACAGTTCAACTCTGAGTTACAAATATACTTTTTGTTTGGTATGCACATTGTAGGAGGAGCAACATTAGGAAGGAGTATGAGAAGCTGGAGAAGGAACAGGGCCTGAAGGAGGAACTGGAGAGGATGTGGAAAGTCAAGGCCAAAGTGGTAGAAACACTTGGGGCTATGATTCCTAAGCTGGGAAAATGGTTCCAACAGATCCCAGGAACAACATCAGAGCTCTCTGTCAAGAAGAGATCAGGATTACGAACAGGTAAGATTTGACATAGACCTCTCAAACTCCCAGGCCTCTGCTACAGGATTCAAAATTGAGGAAGACACATACCTTCCCAGGGGTGGGATGCAAATTTATTTGAACAAATACAACAATTGCATTTTAACACCAGCAAAAGTTAGAAGTACTTTGTAACATCATTAAGAATTTTTGTTCTTGTTTTGAATGTCACCTGTGGAGTGTTAGCCAAGATAACCCTTCAACCCCTCACAGCTTCAACCTCAAACTGTCTACCATGGACCTCACCCCATTCTTAAGAGGTCCTTAAGGGGGGCGTGCATAAGCACATCAGTGTGCTTACCATCCCTGTCTTACTGTCCCCATTTATTTGTATTTACCTCTTTCGTTCACGTTTATGTTCATGCCTACACTTATTATCTTGTACATGTTTGGCAAATAAATAAATAAAGGTAAGCCCAATAATTACTCATGTTCAAAGAATGATATATTGAGGGAAAACAGGATTTACAAGTCAAATGAAGGCTATATATTATTTTTTTTCCTACCTTCTATATCACCCAGTTCTTTGACTTTTCCATTTCCTACCTGCCTTTCCTTAAGACAACTTTTAAAGAAAGCTTGTTGACCCTATGGCAGGATCCAGAAGGAACGAAGGCTAATATACGTGTCCCAGGATTATGTTGCAGGATCCAATCTGGGTTGGTTACCGGGACCAGAGGTTTAGTCCTCCAAGCTTTCGGACTTTGCTTGTTGCAAACTAGTTGGGAAGATTGCAAATGCTGATCACGTGACCGCAGGATGTTATATTGGTCTTAAGTCTTGAGGTCTTGAGGACTGGTTGCAAAGCTTTTTTTAACAGTTTCACTAAATAAGTCGATTGGTGAGCGAGGACTACCTGTAGGCATTCAAAGCTGTTGGTAATCGGCAATACATGGAATTTATAAATAAATGAATTGATTTTTAAAAAAGATTTAATGTCTGACACATATCCAGCAACTTGCAAAGAGGAAGAAAAGTTGGCTAACATGTGGATAGATGTTCCGTTTAACACCAACATCTTCAGACGTTTCAGAAGCAATGTAGCCTTAATGCCTTTATCTTATGGAGGATGCACACCTTTGCTTTGATTTTCTTCAATGAACCTTTTGTGCTCAACTTTGAAGAAGTATTGTATTGGGCTTTTTCTCCCCTCCTTTTATTTTGAATGGTTACAAATAAAGAGCTATTTTTGGGGGTTCCAACCAAGTTTTCCACAAACTTTCCTTCCCTTTTCTTTATTTATAGATCCAAGTTGCAGCTCTATCAAACCTCAAAGGCATATTGTCAAGTCTTATTGAAATTGCATGAAACCAGAGTTGGGTTGATCCCTTCCTTTTAGTGTGGGAAAGTGGCCTTTTGCTTTTCCGGGAATAGATCTTCTAGTTCAATGCCACTCTTCTTTTTTTTCCCCAATTTTAAACATTTTATTAGGTTATCAGATAAGATACAAAACTCAAAGTTAATAGGAAAGCAGTGGGGGGATAGTGGGGAGGAGAAGTGAGGAAGGGTTGGGAAAAATGAAAAAAAATGTTCACTTCTGACTTTCTCTGTTGCAGTAACATCAAACCACAACTTTTTGCCTTTTCATAATAATATAAATTAGCCATTTATATCAAACATCTATTGATCTAATCTGTAAAACCCGGAATCAGAGTTTCATTTTTTTCCACCTCAAGCACAAAATGCAGAAGCGGTCTCCCTGTGGCAACAAAGGTACTTATATTCTTTTCTTTCATCAAAATAGCCAATTTAGCCATTTCTGACAACTCCATCAGCTTCTGCAACCGTTCGTCCATAGTGGCAATTGAAGTGTCCTTCCATTTTTGTGCATACAATAGTCTTGCTGCTGTCAACATCTATAGGGTCAAAGTTCCAATTTTTTTTTTCTCTGTCTTTTTCCATTAGACCAAAGGAAAAGTTTCTGGTTTCATCTTTATTTTCATTTTCAGAATTTTCTGTATTAAAATATGAATCTTACTCCAAAATATTTGCAGAAATGACTATTACAATATGGTGGGTGGCAGTGGTGGAATTCAAAATATTTTACTACTGGTTCTGTGGTCACGGGCTTCCTTCTGCTGTGCCTACCAGCTGAGCTAAAAACAAAAGAAATATATTTATTTATTTATTTATTTTATTTATTTATTTGATTTGCCAATTGTTTACAAGATAAGTATAAGTGTATACATAGTTGTGAATACATGAAATGGGTACATATAAGAAAAATAAAAGAAGAATAAGAGAAACAATAGGACAGGGACGGTAGGCACGTTGGTGCGCTTATGCACGCCCCCTACAGACCTCTTAGGAAAGGGGTGAGGTCAATAGTAGACAGTCTAAGGTTAAAGTTTTTGGGGTTTGGGGAAGAAACTACAGAGTTGGGTAGAGTATTCCAGACATTGACCACTCTATTGCTGAAGTCATATTTCCTGCAATCAAGTTTGGTGCGGTTAACATTGAGTTTGTATCTATTGTGTGCTCTTGTGTTGTTATGGTTGAAGCTGAAGTATTCATTGACAGGTAGGACATTGCAATGTATGATTTTATATACCATGCTTAAATCAGACCGAAGACGGCGTAGTTCAAGGTTTTCTAGTTCTAGAATTTCAAGTCTGGTGGCATAAGGTATTCTACAACGAGTAGAGGAGTGGAGAACTCTTCTTGTGAAATATTTCTGGACTTTCTCAATTGTGCTAATATGAGATACGTAATGTGGGTTCCAGACTGATGAACTGTATTCGAGTATTGGTCTAGCAAATGTTTTGTATGCTCTGGTTAGTAGTGTGATATTACCAGAGAAAAAGCTACGTAGAATTAGGTTAACAACTCTTAATGCCTTTTTGGCTATGTAGTTGCAGTGGGCTCTAGCACTTAGATCATTAGAGGTGAGTATTCCAAGGTCCTTTACAGAGCTTGGGTCATCAACAAGATCTTGACTATTCAGCTTGTATTTTATTTTCTGATTTTTTTTGCCAATATGTAAGACAGAGCATTTATTTGTTGAGATTTGAAGTTGCCATTTGTTTGACCATTCTGATACATAGTCAAGATCTTTTTGTAGGGTAGCAGTATTGTCTGTGGTATTGAACAGCTTTACATCATCAGCGAAGAGAACGCAATTGCTCTTAAAATGATCACAGAGGTCATTTATGTAGAGTATGAAGAGAGTTGGTCCTAGAACACTGCCTTGGGGGACACCACTATTGACAGGTACAGAATTTGATAGGACGCTCCCAATTTTGACCATTTGTTGTCTGTTTGACCGGAATGCTTCTATCCAGTTATTCAGTTGTCCAGAGATACCATAGGATTTTATTTTTAGGAGTAGTTTGTCGTGTACCACTGAATCAAAGGCTTTACAGAAGTCTATGTAGATTGCGTCTATTGCTTTGCCCTGGTTGAGTTGTGTAGTCCATATGTTTTTGCAGTGTAAGAGTTGCAGATTACAGGATAGTTTTTTTCTGAAACCAAATTGTTTATTGGAGAGTAGGTTATTTGTCTCTAAGTGGAGGATGATGGATTGGTTAATAATTGATTCCATGACTTTACAGGTGACGCAGCATAAGGAGATTGGCCTGTAATTTTCAACTAGGCTTGGGTCTCCCTTTTTGAAGATGGGGATGACTGTGGCTTGTGACCATAGGTTAGGCAAGGAGCTGGTCCTGAAAGATTTTTCAAAGATTATGCTTAGAGGTTTGGCTATGGCAGTGGATAGCTTTTTTAAGAAGTAGGCACATATTCCATCCGGTCCAATAGATAGAGATGGTTTTAGATTGCGTAGTGCTTTTTCAACATATAGGACAGGAAAGGGTGGGGGCTGGTGGGCGGGGCCAACTGCTGACTGGCACTACCGGATCGCTAGAACCGGTGTGAACCAGCAGCATACCGCCTCTGGTGGGTGGTATGTGTATGATAGTGTAATGGTTGTTTTCTAGTTGAGTGTATTTTTCAGTAGAGTTTGGTTTTCATTTTCTCAGCAGACAACAGTGCAAAAGAAAGAGGAAGAAAATCTTGAAGAATGCCTGTCAACTCTTCTTGAAAAGAAAAGTCCCTCTGAAAAGAAATTGGGACAAAATTGTCAAGTTATTTCTCAACAGGAATATAAAAAATCCAGGCACCTGTTTTTCTCCATCTTTTATTAGCAGATCCCAGGGGAATTAAAGAGCTTTTATGAACATTGCTTTTCCACATAAGATGCTGAAGGGTTGAGACCTTTGAAAATGAAGTCAGTAAAGCTGGGGCCACCTGTTCAGCAGTCAAGAAGGGAATAAGTTTCTTCAGAGGAATCCGTGTTACTTGAGGCAACTTGCCTTGAAATTGTGATAGGCCGAGTAGGAATTTGATGCCCTTTTTCTTTTGATGCTCCGAATTCCTTCCTGTATCCTAAAAGGCTGCCTTAACATACAAGAAGAGTCAGGAATAATCAAGTTTTCCAAAAGAGGGAGGCAGGAACAGAAGAGATAGGCAGGTTATATTTTAAATGTGGGTTGATACATTTCATCTATCTCTTTCTTGATGTTATTCAGAAATCAAAATGTTGGCTTGCAAGAGAAGTCCTAGACGACAGATCTTAGCTTGCAATGAGCATCACAAAGATGCCTTGGATAAAACTGGCCTTTGATTATGCTTGCAGTCTGCATCCAGTTTTGGTCACCACACTATAAAAAAGATGTTCAGGCTCTAGAAAAAGTGCAGAGAAGAGCAACCAGGATGATTAGGGGACTGGAGACTAAAACATATGAAGGACGGTTGCAGGAATTAGGCATGGCTAGTCTAGTGAAGAGAAGGACTAGGGGAGACATAATAGCAGTCTTCCAATATTTGAGGGGCTGCCACAGAGAGGAGGGGGTCAAGCTATTTTCCAAAGCACCTCAAGGCCAGACAAGGAATAATGGATGGAAACTGAACAAGGAGAGATTCAACCTAGAAATAAGGAGACATTTTCTGACAACGACAGCAAAAGCCAATAGGACAGCTTGCCCTTGGAAGTTGTGAGAGCTTCATCACTGGAGGCTTTCAAGAAGAGATTATGCTGCCATTTGTCAGAAATGGTGTAGGGTCTCCTGCTTAGGCGGGGGGTTGGACTAGATGACCTACAAGGTCCCTTCCAACTCTGATTATCTGTTATCTGAAATGCAGCATCTAGACTGATACACTATTACTTACACAATACCATGAGTATATTTTAATTGGTATTATAGGCTATGCCTTCTTCTACATACTAAAAAGAATTGTATGAAAGGGTTAGTTGACCACCCATGATCAACTTCAGAGGACTTTGTTCATTTGTTTGTGAAATTTATTTGCTGCCTATCTCACCATGGGGCTAACTCTAGGCAACAATAAAAAGGAAGAAATGAAAAGAATGTCAACAGAACAGAAGTATGATAATAGAACAATCAAATAAGCAATGAAAAAGTAAGCAATGAGATAACAAAAAAGATGGGTGGGTGAATGCCAAAGAAAATGGGATGAAAAGGAAAACGTTGAAAGGCGGAAATTCTTGAGGTATTGAGAGTGTAATGGAGAAATATTAAAACATGAATATGGATTGTACCTGGAGTGTCTTCATAATTGTTTCATGTGTGAGCAAAGAATACTCAGTCTTATTGTTGGTGAATGTAAGGCACAATTTCACCATTCTCAGCTTTATGCCTCAAAGAAATTCATAGGGTTACATACAAGGGCAGAATCAAGATTCCAGGAAATATTGTGAAGAAGAACTTACTACCATGGAACAGGAGCTTCCGTATCTCCTGAGCAACCTCATTTTTTTCTGGCTAAGATTTGCCTCAAGATAGGATTGTCTTTGGGAATAAGTTGAAGGCAGGCAAAACAAGTTTCCCCCCCCACTTAATACATAAACAACTCATCAATGCAAGATATGATGACTGCTTGGTTAGAATTAAAAGCAAAAGTGATCACAGAGGCAATGGGTTTACCGATGGCCTTGAAAGCAATCCAAGCATTGTTATTGGTACCAATGAAGGAGTATGTTTGTAGCTTAGGATCAAAATAAGGAGTTCCTTGGTGCTCTCCAACTCGGTTGTTTTCAACAAGCCAAAACGGGAACAAAAGACCCAAATACCTCCCCACTAGCAACAAAAACCAACATGAGCATAGATTAACTCCAAGATTAACATCAGACCAACAAACCAGTCAACAATATCCCAATCAAGGAACTGCCAAACAAGTCAATAGTAAATAACCCAACCAAAGCACCTCCAAGATCATTTCCACTAACACTGACAGTACAAGCTACTAGAATAAAAGCCACTAGAGAGCAAACCCCACTCCCTACTAGCACTGATGATGTTACCTTCTTTGGGTAATGAAACGTCTGCAAGAAAACAATCAAGTTCAGAGAACACCAAGGACCCTTCATTGTTATTGATAGCTGGTTTTATTCAATAACTGTTGGACTCTCCAAGGATTTCCTAGGGCATGGGTGTCAAACACAAGGCCTGTGGGCTGGATCTGGCCCATGAGGTGGTTAGATCCAGCCTGTGGGGTTGTTGTGGAAACAGCAAAGGACTAGCCCGTGGCTTCTTGGCCTAGCCCATGCCGACCGGGTGCTGATCTGCAACCTGGTAGCAGCCATTCCTTCCTCAACCCCACCAGGGCCCCACAGGCCCCCACCACATGAGTGATGTCAAGCTGGCCATACCCCCAGGCCATGCCCAGTTGGCCACGTCCCTCCTCCCCTCCCCCTGGCCCCCAGAGGACAACCACAATGCTGATCCGGCCTCAATGAAATTAAGTTTGACACCCTTGTCCTAGGGTGTCAACCCAAAACATTTGCAGCAAAATTCTGCAATTTTCCTAAAGTAGAGTCCTAAAAAAGTAGGGATTTTTTAAATATCACATAGTTTATTTCATTGCCGATTTCCTCCAGTTGTGTTTAAGAGCAATAGGTCTCAGTCTGAATCAGGAAGATCTAATTCATGCTTAAAGCTCCACCTCAAATCGCTTGGCATATCCCAAAATTGAATTAAAAACAGATGGAAGTCATCTACCCAGCAATCCTTACAAATACGAAACTTTTATGTGGCTTTCCACACTACCCTGCCATATTACAGTTGGTCAGGAATTCTACTTTAGCTGCTCCCACCCCCAACATACACAGTGAGTGTGGTATACAATTTCCTTCCATTCTGAAGCAAGTCAGAGTTTCGTTTTAGGTTACACTGGAGGCTGAAACGAATCTCTGACTATGATGTGAGAGATCTCTATTTTAATCCTGTCAGAAATAAAGTATAAAACCAGGGACAAACCAGAAGGGTTTAAATAAGCCTGAGATGGCTTATTTATCTGTTCTGTGTTGGTTTAATCCTGAAATGCTTTATGGTTACATTTTTGCATCCCTCATGTCTGTATTTCAGTTGTACGCTATAAATATTGGAGTAGAGAGGAAGATAAGACTACTTCTCCCCTCCAAACCCAGGTGTTCAGTTTGATTATTTTTGTAATTCTAGTGTGTTGTTATATTTATAATTGTTTTGATAGTGGTATATTCTACCATACTGTAAGCTATACAGGGTTGCCTTGTACCATGAGATATGTGGCAAATAAATTTAATTTAATAACAATAATAAATATTGTAGGAAAAATTGTTGGGGTATAGTAACAGAGCAGAGAGACAAGCATGGAAAATTGATATCTATAACAGTCAGCCACTGAGCCAGCCAATCTTCCCTGTTTCTCTCCCTCTTTTATCCCGGGTAGGCATTTATCCTGTGAAAGATCCATCATGGATTTGTTCAGCTGAATTCACTTCTGCCGTTGTCTGTCATGGAATTCTTTTTAAAATCTACCATAGTTACATTTCTATATCTGAGAGCCAATTTCATCTAGTGCAGGGCTGTCAAACTCTTGGCCCACGGCGGGTTGGATGCATCATGTGCTGGCCACACCGACACCGGGTTTAGCAAAGGAGAAAAAAGTTCCGCTACATTACTTGATGCTGCTATGATGTCATGGGTTTGATACCCCTGGTCTAGTGGTTAAGGCACCAGGCTAGAAAGAGGGAGACGGGGCGTTCTAGTCCTGCCTTAGTCATGAAAGCCAGCTTTGGGACAATCACCAGAAGACTGTGATTTCTAATCCCAACTTAGTCATGAAAGACAGCTGGGTGACTTGGGCCAATCACCAGAAGA